TGCCCTTTCTTCATTATAAAGCACTCCAACACACTACAATTGAGAAGGGGAAAACACACAAAAACATTAAAAAAAAATCAGCACTTGAACACATGGAAAGTAAGCTGAAATGGTGAGCTTTAAGAGTTGATTTTAGAGTGCAAACTTTTAGAAAAGTATAAGTCCTCTTTAGAGTTCGTTTCTGGGTTTCTCCTCTGAGTTTTCGGGCTGTTTTAACACGGATTTGCTGCTGATTTTGCTGTTGTTGTGCTGCTGTTTTTTATGCTGGTTGAATTGCTGGACTACCATTTATTCTTTTGCTATTCAGGTAATCCTTTAAGACTCGTAATGTATGTATTTTTAGCAATGGGAATAAGTTGATATGTCAGTAGTTTTATGGATTTTTAAGCATGTTTTCAAGCTATTGTATTCGAGTAACAATGTTAAGTATGCCATGAATGACTTTAGGTGTATAACACATAGCATGAGTTTGTTTTAGTTGCTGAAATTTCAATGCAACATTGCTTCTAGGATTGCTGTTTTTTTTCTCGAATCTGGCCATTTTTGCCATTTTTGCAAAAGTGGCTATTTTTGTAAAGTGTTTTTTTTGAATCTGGCCATTTTGCCAGCTTTGCAAAAGTGGCTATTTTTGTAATATGTGTGTTTATACAATTGTGGCTATGTAGTTAATGGTCATAAATGCAAACTAAGTTAAAGAACCAATATTGTATCAACTTTGGGCCTTTTGAACCAAAAAATAAAAGCTGGCCCATTTACCTTAAACAACAAAATTACCCTTTTTTTCTATATAGCATTGGGCCAATAAAAATTCATTTCTTGGCCCATTTTTTAGTAATAAATTCCAGCAGCCCAAGAGGTCTTTACAAGCTGGCCCATTTCCCCTTTTAACAAAGAAGTTGGCACATCCCTTTAAAATAGATAGAGTTGGTCCAACATTTATTTGCATAATATTTTCAATAATAAGATTAGAAAAATAGAAATAAAAAATCAGATTTTTTTTTATATACCAATTAAGTAACTCACTTTCTTCCAATTAATTATATCGAACGCTAGGCATTTAGTAGGTGCGCTCTAATTCCACGGTTTCGCTTGCGTAACGTGATGTTCAACATTCAATAATTTAATTCAACAAGGTCATACAATATTCGTTAGTTTTCCAGTTGATTTTTAGTTTAATAAACTCTTTGCCAAACTCGCGGATTCGCTTGCGTAGCGCGATAATTGACCTTTTAATAAATTTCAAAAAAAAATTAATAATTAAACTCTTAGAATGTATTAATTTTCCTAGAAGTAAATAACTTGCTAACAATTGTTTGTCATGACTGCGGATTCGCTTGCGTAGCGCCGTTATGATTAAATAATAAATTTCGTCGATCACGCATTCGCTTGAGTAGCGCGACGGTTGACTTGTAAATTTTAAAGAGCTAATTTTCTCAAATGTAGTATTTTTCTTTTAAAAGTATTACAAATAATTGATTGTCATGATTTCGGATTCGCTTGCGAGGCACAATTATGACAAATTAATTAATTATTTTTTATTCGATCACGCATTCGCTCGCGTAGCGTGGTTATGACATTTTTTATATTATTCAAAAACATTCTTTGATTTCTCTAATAATCAAGAGATAAAAGCGGATAGGTACAACATGAAAATAATATAAATCACAGTTTGTCCAAAATTAATTCAAGCCAAGTTTAAGTCAATAAAGCGACCGTGCTAGAACCACGGGACTCGGGGAATGCCTTATACCTTCTCCCCGGTCAACAGAATTCCTTATCCGAACTTTGTTTTCGCGGACCGATAAAAATAGAGTCAAACCTTCCTTTGACTAGGGATTCAAATAAATGGTGACTTGGAACACCGAAAAAATCAATTCCAAGTGGCGACTCTGAACAATAAAATAATCCCTACTCAAGTTTTTGTCACTTTAATTGGAAAAACTCTTTAACCCATACATACATATATTTCGGGGGTAGGTGGGAAGAAGGGGTGTGACAGCTCTGGCGACTCTGCTGGGGAACTAACTAGAATTCGAGCTTGTACATGTTGACTTTTATTTGACTTTATTAATTTTGTATATACTGTGACTTATTTGGGCATAATGTGCTATTTATTTTCTTTTTACCGCTTTGATATTGTTGAACTGTACATATAAACTATCTTCTCACGCACCCCCTCTGAGTCTCCTTGAAATTAAAAATTGGGCATTTGCTTGACATAGCCCGCTTTCTTTGAGATAGCCGAGGTGCTTGTCACCCGGTGAAGGATTTTAGTCACACATGTTTTAGGCGGGGAGCACCACCAGTTAAGCCGGAAAGCAATGCTACCGGTACACTGACCCTCCTCGGCTCGAGTTGTCCGCTCGAGTAAGCCAGTCTAGATACTTTCTCCAATAAGATTTAAACCTAG